AGTCTAAAATTGCCCTATCTTGAAATAAAGAGTTTTGGATATATAGATTTAGATCTTGAAAATTGCCTTTAAAATTACTTCTCCATTTTTTCTTGTCTTTTCAGTATTTTTCCTTAAAGGATAATCTTTTTGGTATCCTTCCTTAAAACATTGGGATAAATAGTACACAATTGTTTTCTCTTCAGGATCTTAACATGGCTTATAAATCCAAGTCTGGTATGGATATTTGAGATTTCACTTGCTCACTGTGGTCTCTGCCGTTCTTCAGAGAAGAAGTGGAGGACTTTCAACATTCTAAAATATGCATGCAATCTCAAGCCATCTATTATGTATATTGGTTATATATTGGTACTTATATGTGAGTCTCATCTGCTCTGCATAGATCCTACATATTTCAGGGTAGTATGAATAAATATATTTAATTCTTCAAATAAGTATCATATCTCATACACAGTTTGTACAATAGGTAACGCTCTGGTGTAATTGCAGAATGAATTCTAAGGGGTCAGCCCATCTGGCACTGTCTTTTGTCTCTTAATACTTAATGCTTGAGCATCATCCAGGTGTCAGGGAGACATTACTAGTGCTAAATTACTCTGCTTGTCTCTGTATTTGATTTTAATGCGTTATGTGCAAATAGGAACACTCATTTTCTTTAATAGCAGTTTCTTTGGTCGTATTCCACATATGGGTGTGAGAGAGTTGGAATAACATTCTTACACTCAGCAAATACATTAAGATGAATTTTAACATGAATCTTTATACGTGAGGCAATCTTCAATGCCAAGTAGGAAATTCACATCATTTCAGAGCTGGGAACACAGGCGTAGATTTTATGCATGCTATTTTCTAAGTGGAAAAGAGAAACCGATACATTTCTGTTGACGTTACTGTTGCTGAATGTATCTGTCAACCTTAATCTCTAACTCACAAGAAACAGACACTGAGTTAGAATGTCTGAAATATGCTGTCTTTCTAGATCTGATTTTTCACTTGCATGTCAATTCTCTTATGATAAAGGTCAAATTAAATGCTTAATTTTAGTAAGCTGCATCTATTGTTATGATTCTACGTATATGACCTCATATATTATCTAAGCCATTTTAGGCTCTTTGATTCCCTTTGTCTTTTTTTTAATTCCAATTTTTGTTTTATCACAGCTGTTAAAACATTTCAGAAATTTACTTATTTTCAAGGATTTATAACATAGGAACAAAGAAATTTCCTTTACTTCATGGTTTCTGGGTAACTCTTTTTCTTCTTTGCTTACTGCCTATTAAGAAATATAGTTTGTCATCACTAAATCTTAGGTGGTATTCATGAGGGCAGTTTCAATGTTTTTTCACACATTTGAAATAAAATTTCACTAGAGAATAGATGGGATACATCATATCATGTTACCGAAATGGATTTTTCACGTGGTCTAATGGTGCATCAGACCTGCCTCAGTTCTTCTGTAGTTGGGATCGGATAGATTACAGGATCATATCTGCATCCATCAATTATTTGTGTGATATTCTAGTTGTGCTGTTTAATATGCCAGCCTAATGTGTGTGTGTGCGTGTGCACACGCGCACACATGTATGTATGTATGTGTGTGCGTGCGTGTGTGTGTAGCCTTCCTTTAGTAATTTAACAGTTCTAATATTCAGTGAGTTAACGGGTTCTTCCTCACAGGAATCTGTCATCCTTTTCTGTCTTCTGTGTAGATCTTCAGTGTATTGTTTCCTCCTTCCCTTTATTTTCTCCTAGTCAGATAGTGTGCTTCCCTGTTGGTCATTCAGCATTTGTAATCTAGGTTTAAATTTCCCTTTGATTTCTTTCTTTTTTTTTTTTTTTTTTGTGAGGAAGATCAGCCCTGAGCTAACATCCATGCCAATCCTCCTCTTTTTGCTGAGGAAGACTGGCCCTGAACTAATATCTATAGCCAATCCTCCACCTTTTTTCCCCTTTTTCTCCCCAAAGCCCCAGTAGATAGTTGTATGTCATAGTTGCACATCCTTCTAGTTGCTGTATGTGGGACGCAACCTCAGCATGGCCGAAGAAGTGGTGCGTTGGTGCGTGCCCGGGATCCAAACCTGGGCCGCCGGTAGCAGAGCATGCACACTTAACCTCTACGCCACGGGGCCAGCCCCTACCTTTGATTTCTTTTTTTTTTTTAATTTTATTTAGTTATTTATTTTCCCCCCCAAAGCTCCAGTAGATAGTTGTACGTCATAGTTGCACATCCCTCTAGTTGCTGTGTGTAGGACGCGGCCTCAGCATGGCCGGAGAAACGGTGCGTCGGTGCGCGCCCGGGATCTGAACCCGGGCTGATTTCTTGAATCTTCTGAAGACTTCTGTTCTTCCTTTTTTGTGGTTATCTTCTCTCTCTGTGCATTGGCTGTTAGAGTGGTTCTCTTTATCTCTATGTGACAGTCGTTGAAAAAGGGCGTTGTTCAGGATTCTAACCCTACTTTTGTCACCTTTTACCTTTGCTTCTCCCCTGTTCTTAACCATTTTTAGTGTTTCTTCTGTCATCCATCTTGATTTTTCTTTTCTTTTTACTTCAGGCATTGTCTTTTCTCATTCTTCCTTGTTAATACTTCTGGTTTCTGTCTATAGTTCTTCTGGTTCTTGGTCACTTCAGTTTAACAATGCAAATATGATTTTTGTGTGGACTTGAAGTTCATAGGAATGTGGTTTATGTTATTTTGGTGCTGCGATTCTTTTAGTGTTCTGCTTCAGCTTTACTCTGGTATTTGATATGAAGTTTGTGGTCAGGACCACAATCTGCGTACGCATATATGGAGCAAGAAATGCCTGATGTCCAAGCTGGATTTCGAAAAGGGAGAGGCACAAGAGATCTAATTGCAGTTATTCGCTGGCTACTTGAGTGTTCCAACGAATTTCAGAAGAAGGTTAGTTTGTGTTTTATAGACCTACCCAGTGAAGCCTTTGACTGCGGGGATCATGAGAAGCTGTGGCTGCTCTGAAAGAAATGGGCGTGCCTCAGTACTTGATCATAACCTGTATTGTGGACAAGAAGCCACTGTCAGGACAGAATATGGAGAGACGGGACAGTTTCTTACAGGCAAAGGTGTCACACAGGGGTGCATTTTATCTCCCTACCTGTTTAATCTGTACGCAGATTAATACAAAAGGTTGGGCTAGGCTCAGATGAAGCCGGAGTGAAAATTGGTGGAAGAAATATCAACAATCTAAGATATGCAGGTGACACCATCTTACTGGCAGAAGGCAGCAATGATTTGAAACCACTTCTGATGAAAGTGAAAGAAGAAAGTGCCAAAGCAGGACTTTATTTGAACATAAGAAGAAAAAACCATGACTACAGAAGAAGTACACAACTTTAACATAGACAATGAAGACACTGAAATTGTTGAAGATTCTGTTTACCTTGGTTCAGTCATCAATTTAAATGGAGCCAAAAAATCAAGAGAAGACTGAGACTTGAAAGGGCAGCAATGAAAGAATGAGGAAAGATTGTTAAGTGTAAGGAAACGTCATTAGAGACGGGGGCCAAGATTATCCGCACACTCGTATTCTCAATTACTAAGTACAGGTGTGAAGGCTGGAGAGTGAAGAAAGCTGACCGGAAAAAAACTGATTCCTGTGAAATATAGTGTTGGAGGAGAGCTCTATGGATACCCTGGACTTCCAGAAAGACAAACAAGTAGTTCCTAGAGCAAATTAAGCCTGAACTATCACTAGAGGCAAAAGTGATAAAACTGAGGCTGTCCTACTTTGGGTACATCATGAGAAGGCAGGATTCTTTGGAAAAGACAATAATGCTGGGAAAAGTAGAAGGCAGCAGGCAAAGAGGAAGACCAAATATGAGATGGCTTGATTCCATAAAGGAAGCATAGCCTGAGTCTACAGGAGCTAGGTAGGGCTTTTGAGGACAGGGCATTCTGGACATCACTCATTCATAGCGTCTCCCGGAGTCAGAGCCTTGGCGGCATGGCAGATAACACACACAATACTTGTGACCTACCATGCGGGAGGAGGGGGTGCGGTGGAGGGAGGGAGCGGTGAGCCAGGTTGGTAGGAGTGTATTCCCTGACAGTGTTTAGAAGTGCATGGTGATAATAAAAAGCAGGCCAACTTTTTTTTTTTTTTTTTTGTGAGGAGATCAGCCCTGTGCTAACATCTGCCAGTCCTCCTCTTTTTTTGCTGAGGAAGACTGGCCCTGGGCTAACATCCATGCCCATCTTCCTCCACTTTATATGGGACGCCGCCACAGCTTGGCTTGGCAAGCAGTGCGTTGGGGGGTTGGTGCGCGCCCGGGATCCGAACCCGCGAACCCCGGGCCGCCGCAGCGGAGCGCGCACACTTAGCTGCTTGTGCCACCGGGCAGGCCCCCAGGCCAACTTTTTGTACATTTCCTTACAGTTTTGAAGCTTCCTACGGAGAGTATCACTTCCTTGCCTGCCCCTGGGGCAGACTGTGCCCATGCCCCTGCCCCATCTTGGTTCATCGCTGGTCCTGTTTCCTGGGTTTTAGAGTAACGTTGAAACTTGGGAAAGCAGTAATTGAAGAGGAAGATGCTCTGCTGAGTTCTAAGCCAACAATTTTACTTTATCAAGTATTCAAACGGGTTCCAAAGGATATGGCAGTTGTTAATACATTAAATTCTTTCTACAGTAGCCCAGAAAAATAGGTTTAAACTAGTATTCCATCTCTAAAATGGAAGTTAAAATGGTCCCTTTCTCCTCTTCTGTCGTGTTGATCTCTGTCTTCTACTTTATTTTTCTCTCTCCTTTCCTAAAAATCCATGAAGTAGCACTACTTGAGACTGCCCTTTCTCAGTCCAAATTTTAATTGTTGACTAAATTTTAATTACCTATTAGTGATGTAGCCAAGCTTCTCTTTCTCTGTTCACTACTGCCTGCTGCTCCTCCGTTCCAACAAATTTGCTTGTTATTTTCTGTAAGTTTATTTTTCATGTGGTTTTGTTTTTAACAGAATTCAACCTGCATATAGTAACTTTATTCACTTTACCTGTAGCCACATCATGAAAACATATTTGATACAAGGAAATCAGAGGATTGTCTAGGGGTCAGTTTATGGGTGGATTTCTTAATCTCCCTAGCCAGACTCTTAGTGCAGTGATTTTATAGCGTTGCAGGAGGCATGGGGTTAGGAGTACAGGTGTTAGAGTCAGGTGGGCCCAGATTTGAGTCCCATTCAACCACTTACCAGCTGGGTAACCGTGGGCAAATGATTTACTCTCAGGATGCCTCTCTTTCTCTCTTATCTGCCAAGTAACCATAATAATAGCACTTAACTCATACTCATCAGCATAATAACAGTACTTAACTCATAGAGCTATTCATTTGTTTAGCCACTGTCTGTTTGGTGCCAGATGCTGTGCTCTATGATGGGTAGAAGTCAATAAATAGAACTGACATGGGACTTCTCTTGATGTGTCATTGAGAAAATGCACAGTCCCTGGGACATAGGTGCTTAGAGATTGTTAGCTATCGTTAAGGAGGAGGTAGTTCTAACATAGAGTAAATGGCAGCCCCTTTCCCTTTGAAAGGCATAGAAAGAATTCATTCATTCTTTTATTCTTCAGATGTCCTTTATGGATATTTGATGGGTACTAGGGATGTAGTCTAAACAAGGTAGGCAGGGTCCCTTTCTTCATGGAGTGTACATACTTGGGGGAGAAGACAATGACCAAGAAAACAGCTCAATAAAGAAAGCAATTAGTAAATGTGATCCATGTTATAAAAGAATGAGAGAGATAACGCTGGGCAGGGTGGTAAGGAGAGGGCTGTAAGGTAAGGCCTGAAGAATGGGAAGGAGCAGGCTTTGCACAGGTCCTGAGGAAGAACATTTCTGGCAAAGAGAAAAACAAGCAAAAGGCTTCAGACAGAAGAGGACTTTCCACATTTGAGGAATAAAAAAGAAGACATAGATGACTGGATTGTCATAAGCATAGTGGAGAAAGATGTGAGAGACTGTTGTAGAGGTAGGAGGAAATAGATGGTGCAGGGCCTGATGGTCCATGGGAAGGAGTTGACTTACATGAGACCCTGTGTAATGGAAGGACAGGGTAAAAGAAATATAGGCAGTTAGTAGAAAGAAGTAATAGAGATAGCGCCTAGGTGTCTGGTTTTAATTACTTTGATTAGCAGTGCTACTATGGAGATAAGGAACAATGGGGGATGGCAACATTTGGGGGAATTAAAGAAAGATTTACATTTTGGGCATGTTAAATTCGGAGGAGAATATAGACCTATTAAAATGGGATCATTATTTGTGTCTATTCATAAGATAAAAGCTTATCTATATCTTGTTTTCTGTTTCATTTTTTTTCTATGACATTTAAGAAAGTCATTCAAGTCCTCTGTAGAAGTTTCCAGCTTTTATTTTTGCTACGTCTTAGTTGGCAGGAAGCTAAAATTTCAGGTCACTAAAGATTGCCACTGGCCTGTGAGGAGACGAGCAGAGTCGGACTCTAGAAGTTGGTTGATGAGAGAGTGAAACTGTTCAGAAATGCCATAGGGTTTACTTAGAGCTTATTGGTGCAGAAAATTTACTCCACACTGATGGATTTCCTGATTTAGTATATTAAAGATGAAAAAGGTAAAGTTCCTTTCTGATAAAAGTGTTTATTTCTAGTAATCTGGGAATAGAAGGACATTGATGAATGTTTATATATTCAGAGGAAACATTCTGCCTTCTGCCTTATGTTTGGATAGCTGCCACTTGGTGACTGTTGGAAATTAAGTGAGAGGTCTGATGTCTTGATCATCTCCGATATTTGGGTGTTTCTGTCCAGCTCTCTTTCAGCTGACATTACCCAGACACGTTGCTAGTGCTGTGCTCACAGCCCATAAGCTCTTTCATGTCATTTTGTGTATATACTTTTGCTTAATAGTCATCAGTGGAGAGCAGCAGATTACTTTTGTAGCTGTATTATTTTATAAGATAAAAAAGGTAGTACTATGATCTCTCATAAAACCACATACACAGCATAAATAGTTAAGGATACTAATGAAATATCCTCTAATGCCCTCTACCAAAGAAACAAAAAAACAGGACTAGAGATAGGCTTATTCAGTAAAAATGTGAAAGGTACACTTAACTTTTCTCTTTGAATTTGTACAGGAGAGAGGTTCTCTTCTTCCCTTTTACCTTTTTCCACAGAACCATAAAATGTGACCTTAAGGATGTTTGGTTCATTTGCTGGTGAGGAGCTGAGGACTGGAGAATCTATACTGTAGTCCAAATGGGATCATGTCACTGCGAATAAAAATATTACTGAGAAGAGGAATAGATTTTTCCCAAAGCTTCTCTAGTGTTGATTCGTTGGTCCCTCCCATGCCTCAGTGGGCTTTCACATGCCCTCTGGTTCTGCGTGTATGAGAGATTACGAGTCTTTACTTTTTGCCTCAGTGCCTTTAGTCTTATTGCAAAGCATATGTTTTTTGGACAGGAGTCCCTAACTAGTCACTAGTGGGATCTGGCGTACTTCAGTAGAATCTGATGTCATGGTTTGTCTTTTTTGCCAAGACTTGTGACCGTTTTTGCTGACGTCCAGCTCTGCTTGGATCCTTGAAGTTGCCACATCTGCCCCTGCCTCACATCTAGGCCCCTCAGAAGAGAGCTCTTCCGGCACACATTGACTGTGGCCTCAGTTCTGAAGTGCTTACCTCAACCCATTCCCTGCAAATGAATACGTTTATTATCAGTCTTATTGCTTATTCTATTCTTCTTGCCTCTTCTCTGAATTTGATGGTTAGCACCATTTTCTCAGTCATGATTTTGGTGCCATTATGAACATTCTTACATATGCTTTCACATACAAATAATGAGATTTTCTCTAGTGAATTTATTTAGAAATGGAACTGCCGGGTTGCAGGGCATGCACATTTTCAACTTCAATGTC